GTGTTAAAACTTTTTTCCCCTAAATATTGTGTTGTAAGCAAATTCCACACTAAATTTACATTAAAAAGTGCTTTTCCAGGACTGAATTGCTCATGCTTTGTGAATTTCTTCATATAAATTTCTCATTATATTGTTTGGCATTTACTCACCTGACAGACTATCCCTAGGCCAGATGTTGAGAGCCTGGGTCAAGACGGGCAGTTTTTGCCTAAGAATATTATAACACGCCACCATGTGAGAGAATGAATTTTGCCTTGTAGAGATACATTGGTGAACAGGACAGATCAGGGTACCTATTCTTATGGAGCTTATGGGATCTGGGACTGAGGTTAAGCAGGGGCCAAAAACTTACCATACTATTATTTAATTCAGCAGTGATGAGGGAGGGACATTATTATCAAAATGCAGGGAAAGAGGAGCATTTCTTGGATTTCACAGCTGCACCCCCAAAGAGAAACCCCTAGCACTGCCTCCTATTGCTATACATACTTCCCCTTTCCTATGTCCCAACCTGAAGTTGGAAATGAATATTTTGCTTTGTAAAAGCAATATTAATGAGTAATTTTTAAGCAAGTGAATAACAATTTTTTACTTCTAGCTAGACTGAGACCAAGAAATAGAAGACTTGCTCAGCTAGTGTGGCTAAGTGGTTGAGCGTTGACCCATGAACCGGGAGGTCACTGGTTCGATTCCTGGTCAGGGCATGTGCCCAGGTTTGTGGGCCTGATCCCCAGTGGGGAGCATGCAGGAGGCAGTCAATCGATGTTCTCTCTCATCGATGTTTCTGCTCTCTCCTTCTCCCTTCTTCTCTCTCTAAAATCAATAAAGAAAAATTATTTTTTAAAAAAAAGGAAATAGAACACTCAAAGCATTAAAATCAGGAATGAAAGCAGGATCATTACAATGAACCTTACAGAAGAAAACAATAAGAAACTACTATGAATATTTTTATATCAAGAAATTAGATTACCTTGGTGAAATTGACAAATTTCTAAAAAGACATAAACTATAAATAACTCTCGAGAAAAAGAAAATCTGAATGAACCAATAAAATATCCAATTAGTAATTTTAAAACAAAATTCCTACAAAGAAAAGCCCAGAACTAGAAGGCTTCCATGGTGAATTCCACCAAACATTTAAAGATAAAATAAACAACCACCCATACTTCATAAACTCTTCTAAAGAATGGAAGAGATGCGTCCTGGTCAGTGTTGCTCAGCGGTTAGAGCATCAGCCTGTGTTCCACTCTATAAAAAGCCATGGAAGCCCTGGCCGGTTTGGCTCAGCGGTTGGAGCGTCGGCCTGCGGTACAGAGAGACCCGGGTTCGGTTCCCGCTAAGGGCATGTACCTCGGTTGCAGGCCCTGGTTGGTCGTGCGGGTGGCAGCCACTCGATGTGTCCCTTCACGTCGATGTTTCTCTCTCTCTCTCTCTCTCTCCCTCCCACTCTATCTGAACAAAAAATGGAAAAAATGTCCTCGGGTGAGGATAAAAAAATAAAATAAAAAGTCATGGAAAAAATATCCTTGGGTGAGGGTTAAAAAAAAAAAATAGCCTTGGCCAATGTGGCTCAGTGGATAGAGCATTGGCCTGGGGACCAAAGGGTCATGTGTTCAATTCCCAGTCAAGGGCATGTATCTGGATTACAGGTTTGATCCCAGGTCAGATTCGTGCAGGAGGCATCTAGTCAATGTATTTCTCTCACATCTATGTGTCTCTCTTTCTCTCCCACTCTCCCCTACCCCTCCCTTCCTCCCTTCCACTCTATCTAAAATCGATGGAAACATATCCTCAGGTGAGGATTAATAAAACAAAATTAAAAAAAAAAAAATGGAAGAGGAGCCCTGGTTGGTTTGGCTCAGCGGTTAGAGTGTTGGCCCACGGACCAGAGAGAACCATGTTTGGTTCCCGTTAAGTGCACATACCTCAGTTGTAGTTTGTCCCCGGCCCCGGTTGGGGTTGTTCGGTGGCAACCAGTCGATGTGTCTCTCTTACATCGATGTTTCTCTATCTCTTGCTCTCTCCCTCCCGCTCTATCTGAAGATGAATGCAAAAATGTCCTCAGGTGAAGATTAAAAAAAAAAGAAAAGAAAACAATCAGTGAGAGGTACACTATATTAATACAATAAGGGGGGGGGGGGTGATTATTTCAACCGATGCAGAAAAAAACATTTGACAAAAAAATCCAAAATCATTAAAACACACACACAAAATACTTAAACTAGGAATGGAAGGGAACTTTCTCATGAATGAAAAACTCACAGCTAAAAATTAAATGGACAAAGACTGAAAACTACCCCATTCAGAAACGACAAGATGTCTGCTTTTGCCACTTCTACTCACTGTTGTACTGGAAGGTCTAGATTAGGCAGAGAGAGAGAGAGAGACAAGGCATTTCAATTAGAAATAAAGAAATAAAACTATAGCTATGCAGATGACATAATCCATGTATTTATCATCAAGTTGTGGAAAAAGCCACACCCAAGAGGCCACATATTATATGATCCCATTCATGAAATGTCCAGAGCAAGCAAGTCTATAGAGGCAAAAAGTAAATTAGTGGTGCCAGAGGCTGGGGGGAAGGGGAAAAGAAGGAGTGGCTGCTTATGGGTACAGAGTTCATTTTAAATGTGGTAAAAGTGTTTTGGAATAAGATGGTGTGGTTGCATAACTTGTGGTTATGCTATAAATCACTGAATTGTACACTTAAATTGTGAATCAGAAAGGAAGGATTCATAACTGCTGCTAATTTTAATTTATTCACATTTCCTTTTTTACAAGGGTGAATCTTCTAGCTTTTGAATTGGATACCAAATAATTTTTATTTTGTTCCATTTAATCCTTTTTGTTTGTTTTAATCCTCACCCAAGGATATTTTTTCATTGATTCCCTGCTGCTGCTGCTGCTGCTGCTGCCGCCACCACCACCAGATAGAGTGGGAGGGAGGGGGAGAGAGAGAGAGAAACATTGTTTGGTTGCCTCCTGCAAGACTCTGGGGCTGGGTATCGAACTTTTCAGTCATTGGTCTGACGCTGTAACTGTTGAGGCAAATCAGCCAGGGCTAATCATCCAGTTCCCAAACGTCTTCCATCTCAGACAATTTGGTTGTTGACCAAGTTTTATTCATGGTAAAAATGTCAGTTATTGAACAAAATTTTGGTTCTAGACCTGACAACCCTTTCATGCTGATACATCAGCATGACAAAAAGCATCTCTCGGGCCACAAACAAAGGAGAGAATGCTAGCCAGTTTACTGCTAAACCTCTGGTTGTTAACATTTCAGGAAATTGTGCTGTGAATATTTGTGTGTGTGTGTGTGTTGGTTTTTGTTCTTTTGTTTTTTGTTTTTCTTGCTGGCAAAGTGGATGAATAGTAGTACAATCTTAAAACATAAAGAGGCCATCAAGAATGCTAATGTTGCTGCCATGGCCTGTGTAGCTCAGTGAAGCTGTTATGCTGTCTTCCTGAAAGATGACACCCCTGGAAATGATTAGTTTAAGGCTAGTAGGGGGTAATTTGATAAATTTAAGAAAAGTATTTATTTATAGATTAAACAGTACATTAGACATGTACTATATATAAGAAAGGTTAAAACGGAAATCATTTGAAGGTCTAGAATGAATGAATTCAATTTACATTTTCTAATAGAAAAGAAGATTCAGTTTTCGAGCAAATCACTTCTCGAAACACCCTTCTGGAATGAATTAAGTTTGAGAACCGAGGTTCCACTGTATTTTTTTTTATTATTATTATTGATTTTAGAGGGAGAGGGAGAGAGAGATAGAAACATCGATGGGAGAACATCATTTGGCTGCCTCCTGCATGCCCCCTACTGGGGATCAGGCCCACAACCTGCGCATGTGCTCTGACAAGGAATCGAACTGGCGACCTTTTGGTGCATGGGTTGACACTCAACCACTGAGCCACACTGGTCGGGCTCCACTGTATCTTAATGTCATAAAAGTAGTCATTGAAACTTCAGGTAGGTCACTTTTCGGTAATACTTTGTTGTTATTATTAGCTCAGTAGTATGTTCTAAAGTTCAGAACACCTTTTAGGTTTTTAATATAGAATGTCATTAATTCTCGGTTATAAGTGGAGTATGGTTTGTTACTTTGGAAATAAGGAAAACTGAGGTATAGTAGTGGTTATGGTTAAAAGTCAGCCAGCCAGAATGACTTGGCATGTTAAATCTGCTCCCAACTTTCCTCATCTTGAATTCTTTTTTGATATCATGCTATGCTTTTAACCTTACCCTGATACTAAACTTGAAAAGAAAAATAATGTCTTAAAATAGAGGTGAAATAATGATGACTGAAGCCAGACTTCATACTGTATCCCAAAAGACCTTGGTCTGCCTAGCTGTAGCAGCAGAATCCCATAAGACCATAATTTTTTTTTTTATCCTCACCTGAGGACACTTTTTCATATTTTGTTCAGATAGAGTGAGAGGGAGAGAGAGAGAGAGAGAGAAACATTGATGTGAAAGGGACACATCGAGTGGTAGCCACCCGCATGACCCAACCAGGGCTCGGGACAAATTGCAACTGAGGTACGTGCCCTTAGTGGGAACTGAACACGGGTCTCTCTGGACTGCAGGCCGATGCTCTAACCGCTGAGCCAAACTGGCCAGGGCCCGTGAGACCATATTTGACCAACAGGGCCCTTTTTTCTTCATGTCCACTCTCTCTTTCCAACCCCCTAATATTAAGAGACAAATTAAAATACTGACACATGGCCAAAGGGGCCAGTAAAGTGGAATTAGCTTTTAGCAGTAGGGTCAAGCTCTATTATGGGCTAATGTAATTCAGTGGAAAAGATAGTATACAGACCAGCCAACATCTGCCTAAATCTGCTATTCCTGCTTCAGTGTTCAAAGACAGCATTTGATGGCCTGGAGGTGGGTTGAAACGACTAGGATTTACCTCCAAATTACATTGGGTTGTTTTTGTGATTGTGGTCCTTTGTACTATAATTCTGTTTTCTTTCTGCTTAAATAGGTCCAGAGCACCGTTGGATGCTTACTTTCAAGTGAGCAGGAGCCAGCCTCATTTGCCAACTACCTCTCATGATTCAGGGGCTAGTGATCCTGTCTCTGAAGACTTGCAGGTATCAAGTAGTTCCGATTCTGACAATGACAGTTCCATAGAGTATGAAGAGGTTGTTGTCCACGCAGAGGAACCTGGAGCTGCTATTTTAGAAGGTGAGTATTTATCCAGGTTTGGATTCACAAGGATAACATACAGAAAGCTTAGACTCCAAAAGGCTAGAATTTCTAGGTATGTGTTTTGATACTTTCCCTTTCCCCCCAAATGTTGTGGATTCTTGCTTTATCGTACTGCTTACATTGGCCATAATTATATAGAGAGGATTTGATCTGACTTGCAATTTAATATGATTTGCAACCCAGTGAATCATTTATTTTGTAATGAAATTTATATATTACCTTTAATTTTTCTTAGGCATAAGAGAAGGAAGTAGATTTATTTTTTAAAAGAAAGGCTCTATATAGGGTTCTAGATAGAACCCTATCTATTCTACTTTTGAAGTCCTAGTATAATGTTATGTATTGTGCAAGTGGAACTTTATTTAGCAGTAGGTGGGCAGAGACCCCTTAAAACATATGTCCTGCTTACATTAAAAACCCACCCCAGATTGTGGGCTTTTCCCACTGAATGGAACCAGGGTTTTTTTTTTTGTTTTTTTTTTTGAGAAATAGCTTTCCAGGTCTGGGATAAGAAATCTCAAAGATGAGCATTTTATTAGGTTAGAAAACAAGAAAACCATCTAAACCTCAAAGTTACATCAGTAGACACAAGAACAACCTAGAAAGGGCTGTTAGTGACCTAAGGTAGGACAATTTGAGCATCAAAAAGAATTATGAATATGTTCTTGGGTTATGGATTGAAATAGGTTGAGATATATCAAATCTATGAAAATCTATAAATTCATTATTATGTATTTTTTTAAAACTCACTTACTGCCCTGGCAAGGTAGTTGAGTTGGTTAGAACATCATCCCAAGCTGAGGTTGTGGGTTCGATCCCTAGTCAGTGTACATATAAGCATCAACCAGTGAATGCATATATAAGTGGAACAAACAAATTAATGCTTCTCCCTAACAACAACAAAAAAAAGAAATCAATTTAAAAAGAAACACCTCATTTATCAATCATTATAAGTTATTAGAGCCCTAACTCATTACTCTGAAAGTTGATAAATAAAGGATTAAACACTTATCTTGCCTTTCTTGTGTGAATTGTATTCAGGAAAACCAAATAGTTGATGAAGGAGGTTTTGGGGTTTTTTGTGTGTGTTGGGTTTTTTTGTTGTTGTTTTTTTTAACTAGTTTAAGGTTCACAACAAAATTGAGAGGAAGACACAGAGATTCTCATATACCTTCTGTCTCTGCACATGCATTGCCTGCCTCTCCATTATCAGCATCACTCACCAGAATGGGGTGTCTGTTTTATACCATAATTACCCAAAGTTCATAGTTTACCTTAGGGTTCACTATTGGTGTTATACATTCTATGGGTTTGGACAACCATCATTATAATATTACAGAGCATTTTTACTGCCTCTCTGTCCCTTCCACCCACCCTCAAGAAAGATTTTTTTTTATTTTAAATAGAAGAATTCTCTAATAATGGGGCAGAAATGATAGGGGAAAAATCATTTTGTGACTCCTAATGAAATAATGTATCTAGACAAAGAACATCAGTGGGTCCTGAAATCAGTAGGTTGAAAGGTGTTACTGGAATTCTTTTTAATAGAGGGATCAGGCTGACACCGCCAGAACTTATGTGTCTCTTGATGTGCGGTAGTCAGAAATATCTACCCTACTTAGTAAGTATTTTTGCAAAACAAAAACAAAAACCCGAATATTTAAGACTCTAAATATACTTAATTTGCACAGTTTATAGGAAGAAAGTAAGAGGAACAAGGTAAAAATCTCAAAGATGCATTCATTCAAATCTAAAATATTGGACATTTGGAACATCTAGAAAAATACTTAAATGTATATTAAAATCTAGTTTTGTAAAGGGAAAATCTCAAATCATTGTGGAAAAGATACTTTTAAATTCATATTGTTAAAACTGGAAAAGTGGATTAATTCCTTATACTATAATCCAGGATAAAATAAGTAGATCAGAGACCTAGTGTAAAAAATGAAACTATTTTGATATTAGAAAAGTACATGAGTGATAAAACCCAGTAGTGAGGCGTATTTCAAAGTCTAGAAGCAATACAAGAAAATTACATAAAAATTTGAGCCTCAAAAAGAGAATGGACTAAAAATTAAAAGTCATCTCCTTGATCATTAATGGAAGTTGTGAAAGATTGATGAAGACCCTGATAGTTTAGGGGTCTGACTGACACCACCTAAACCCAATGTGCTACAATCAGAAGTGCTCAACCTAAGAAGTACCTTGCTGTCCCTCTTCCCAAAAAACAGAATTGAATCTATTGAAGTCTCTAGATCTGTCAGTTTATAGGAAATGTAAATGATACCACAAGAAAGCAAACAGCCAAATTCAGGATATAGGACGTTTTTTGTATTTTTTATCCTCACCTGAGGACATTATTTGATATTTTGTTCAGATAGAGTGGGAGGGGGAGAGAGAGAGAGAAACATCGATGTGAAAGGGACACATCAAGTGGTTGCCACCCACACCACCCACTAGGGCCGGCAACAAACCGCAACTGAGGTACGTGCCCTTAGTGGGAACCAAACCCGGGTCTCTCTAGACCACAGGCCAACGCTCTAACCACTGAGCCAAATCAGCCAGGGCCAGGATATAGGACTTTATAAGACAAATTTCCCCCAACAAATCAGTGACAAGGAGGGGATAAAAATGAGTAAAGGAAAATTATTATAGAAGGAAAAAGTCTTAAGAGACATAAGCTAATTGTGGACACCTTGTTTAGATCCTGATTGGAATAAATCCACTGTAGTAACTTGAACACAATTGGGGAATTTTGAATATGAACTGGGTGCCTGGGTATTAGATGGTATTAAAGGATTATTGTTAATTTCATGAGGTATAATAATAGTGTTTGTGTAAAAATAAGTATTCTAAAAATAATGGGAATGGGGCTTCGATGGAATAAGACTGGCAAAATATTATTTTTGAAAAGGGGTGATGGGTACCTTTGGGTACTTACACTCTTCTGTCTACTTTTGCATGTGTTAGAAATATCTAAAATGAGTGGGGGGAAAATCACTGATGCTGCTTGGGAAAATTGTCATCCCTTTTATAGTAACACTACCAATTAGAAATGGCTCTTCTCCTAGCCTCTGATACCTTATGAGATATGTATTCTTTTGTTATTACCTATCTTGTCATTTCTGGAAACGACTTGGCAGAACAACCAGGAGGTATTTCAGCAGAGCAAGAAGTTACATGTATTGGTGGAGGAGAGACCCTCCCCAAGCAGGTAATGCGAAATTTTTTTTTTTCTTTATTGGTTTGCGGGGGCGGTGGGGGGACATCGATGAGAAAGAAACATTGACGTGAGAGAGAACAGCAATTGGTTGCCTTCCATAGCTGCCCCGACCTGGGATCGAACCCGAAACCCAGGTATGTGCCCTGATGGAGAATTGAACCTTCAACCTTGCAGTATATGGGATGACGCTCCAACCAACTGAACCACACTAGCCAGGATTCTTTTTTTTTTCTAATACAAATCATGCTGCACTGAGCATCCTTGTAGAAATGTGTTGGGAACTTTTATGCCTGTATTTATGGTATTTATGGTATATGTTCCTAGCAGAGAGAGTACCATGTCAAAGGAAAGATGTGTTATTTAGTTTTAATAGATAGTGTCAAATTGCCCTCTGGAAAATTTGTGCCACTTTCTTGCAGCAACAATATGTAAGAATGCCTGTTTCTTCCTCACCCATAACAGTGTTTGGTGTCATCAGACATTAATTTATTCCATCTAATAGATGAAAAAAAATGGTGTCTTCAATTTGCATTTCTTTAATTATAAGTGAACAACTATTTGGCATTTGTAATTTTTCGTAAGCTGTTTATATTCTTTGTTTTTCTGATATTTTTCTTTGATTCACATAAACCAAGTACTTTATAGCTACTTAAGTTGATTATGAACCTAATTTTGGATGAATAACCTGTTTCTTGTTGGTTATCTGGGTAACTGCTAGAGTGTGTGTGTGTCTTTGTAAATATAGCTGTTTTTCTTCATTTGAATGAAAAAAACCCAAGAGTTTAATAAGATCAAAGGGAACTAATATTTTTTTAGCTTATATTACGTGACATTGCATTCTAGAAAGAATGGCAAGTGGTTCATAGGTATTGTAGTTTTTCTGCAATGTTTTAAATTGGGTTTGTATAATTTTTGTGTGTTTTGTTAATTTGATAGTTGCATGTCCTCTTCAAGACTGATTTTGCATTTTTCTCTAATTTTAATGTGTTCTGGTTTTCATCTAGCAGTCTTCTCAGAAGTCCACCTCTCTTCTACCTTCATCTTCTACAGATGAGGAAGAAGAAGGGGACACTTGCACAATATGTTTAGAACAATGGACCAATGCTGGGGATCACCGGCTTTCTGCTTTACGCTGTGGGCACCTCTTTGGGTTTAAGTGCATTTCTAAGTGGCTCAAAGGACAGACACGAAAATGTCCCCAGGTAAGGACTGTAGATAGGGACTGCATGTGCACAGTCATGTTAAGTAAGGTGGATTTCTAGAACCCTACTAATTGTGTCCTGTTGGACTCTTCAGTGCAACAAGAAAGCCAAGCACAGTGACATTGTTGTCCTTTATGCCCGAACCCTGAAAGCTTTGGACACGAGTGAACATGAACGCATGAAAAGGTAGGTAGAAAGAGCCTGCCTAGCTGGAATGTTCCCTTTTGGTTCCTTGTAGGCACATCTGATAAAGGATATATGAGTCACTCTTAGTGTGGTTCTGAGGCTTTACTTGGGCTGTGATGGGATCTCTAGGGCTTGCTGGTAGTCTGCCTCAAATTGTGATTTATAATAGATGTCTTATAGTCTTCTGAAAGAGGTCTGTATTGTTTGCTCTCCATACAGTATTTAAAATGAGGATCTAAGGTGACAAATAATTGTGATTTTAGCTGTGCCTGGATTTAGACTCCAATGGATTTCTCAGTTACACAAGTCAGTACATTGGTTTTCAATTTTAGTTTGCCAGTTTAAATAGTTTCTATTCTTGTAATATACAGAGTACTAACCAGTGTTGCAGAGAGACACAAAAGGAGGGCAGCAGGAGGAAGACTCTGCCACCTGTTCCTTCTGTGTTCTTGGCACCTCTTGTAAACCTCTGCTTTCAGAGCCTGAATATTGTGTGGTGATTGGAGCATGTAGGTTCAGAAGGAATGGAAGCAGCTGTTTCTTCTGCAGGAGCACTTGCACATTCTCATAAAGTTGGAGTTAGCTTTAAGTCTTAAGCCTTTGACCAATCATGGTGTCTTAGCCCTCCTGAAATGAAATGCCATAGAGAAACCTATAACACTACTGTAATACCTTATACCTGGCTTGGGCAAAAGATTCAAGCAGAAAAATATGCTGGGTATTTTTGTAGCCTGTCCAGATTCTAACCTGGGGATTACATTTACTGCTTGTCTGCTCCTAAATACTATGAACATTGAATGCAAGATTCCTATCTTACACTTATTGTAGCCAATTCATGACCATCTGAAATATTCTCTTGGCTAGAATAGGCTTAATAATATTTTTTTTGAGAAGATCTTGCACATTACAACTTAAATGTTGCCATTTTTGCTTATGGTGTTCCTAAACCCTCCTACAACAGTACTGTATACAGAAGACTCACAAGTGAAGCTTTGCATATGTTATGTGATGTAAGAAATTATCAGGATTTTGGAATCCCAAAAACAGTTACTAATAACACTACTTAAAATATGCTTTAAGAATATTAAAGAATAGCCCTGGGTGGTTTGGCTCAGCGGTTAGAGTGCTGGCCCGTGGACCAGAGAGTCCCCAGGTTTGTTTCCCACTAAGGGCACATACCTCAGTTGCAGTTTGTCCCTGGCCTCGGTTGGGGTCATGTGGGTGGCAACCAGTTGCTGTGTCTCTTTCACATCTATATTTCTCTCTCTCTTCCTACCCCTCTTCCCGCTCTATCTGAAGATAAATGCAAAAATGTCCTCGGGTGAGGATTAAAAAATTTTTTAAAGATTAAAGAATAAAGCCCAGCCATTGTAGCTCACTGGTTGAGCATCGACCCATGCACCAAGAGGTTGCTGGTTTGATCCCAGTCAGGGCACATGTCCAATTTTGGGCCCAATCCCCAGTGGGGGGCATGCAAGAGGCAGCCAGTCGATGTTCTCTCTCATCGATGTTTCTTGTTGTAGACCCAACAAGACACACCAGACTCAGACTCCGAACTGGGTTCAAATTAAGAGAGCTTTATTAGCAGCACAGCTACTGTCTCATCCTACGCAGAGGAAAGAGCAGCCCCTAGCTCAGGGAGAGGGCTGATTATATAGATAGCCTAACGGCTCCTGGCAAGCAAACGTGTACAGAAGCGGATATCTGCGTTTAGCATTCTTGCTTAGGGAGTAAATGACCTTAGTCTCACAATGGGGCAGTTACTCTTGCAGGACATTGACAAGATTGAAGGTTTCTTCTTCTTTCAAGGTCCCTGGTTTCTAGGGGTCAGTAAGCGGAGAATTGTAACTGCAAGTTCTCACGGTACTTCAGCTGTGTGTGTGTGTTTTTTTTTTATTGCCCTATCATCTGTCCTTCACACTCTCTAAAATCAATAAATATTCTTCAGGCAGTTATTCTGAAACAATTAAGGATGTATGGAAAGATTTACTTAATGAGTTTCTTCATTTAGCATTGTTAGTAATCCAAGCCAAGAGAATTAATTGGTTGAATACACTCTAGCATATCTGTGTTACAGAATACTACACATTCATTAAAACCGCTGTTGGCCCTGGCCGGTTTGGCTCAGTGGTTAGAACGTTGACCTGCGGTCCAGAGAGACCCGGGTTCGGTTCCTGCTAAGGGCACGTACCTTGGTTGCATTTTGTCCCCAGCCCTGGTTGGGTTGTGTGGGTGGCAGCCACTTGATGTATCCCTTTTCACGTTGATGTTTCTCTCTCCCTCTCTCTCCCTCCTACTGTATCTGAACAAAAAATGGAGAAATGTCCTCGGGTGAGGATAAAAAATAAAGTACTTTCTTTTAAAACAAACAAAAAACTGCTGTTGAAGTGCACATATTGTGTTGTCATGTGAAAGCACATTATTGTGATTATATTTTTGTGAACTAGCGAAAGAAAATACTTCAAATAGTTACTGAGAAGTGGGATTATGGATACTTTTAATTACCTTTTTTCTCGTTTGCTCTAACAAATACTTACTTGTAGCATTTTAAAATGGCATTTGTGCCTGGCCATTGTGGCTCAGTGGATTGAGCTTCATCCTATGCACTAAGATGTCACTGGTTCAGTTCCCAGTCAGGGCACATACCGGGGTTTCATCCTCGATCCCCAGTAGGGGGCGTGCAGTAGGCAGCTGATCAACTTTTCCATCTTTCTCCCTCTCCTTTCCTCTCTGTCAAAAATCAGTGGTGATGGGGCGGGGTGGGATGGGGGGAGGAGGGTGTCAATGGGGGAAAATGAAAAACCTCTAACAAAATCAAATTAATAAATAGAAAATAAAATTTTTTTTTTTTTTTTATCCTCACCCGAGGACATTTTTCCATTTTTTGTTCAGATAGAGCGGGAGGGAGAGAGAGGAAGAGAGAAACATCGATGTGAAGGGACACATCGAGTGGCTGCCACCCGCACAACCAACCAGGGCCGGGGACAAACCGCAACCGAGGTATGTGCCCTTAGCGGGAACTGAACCTGGGTCTCTCTGTACTGCAGGCCGACGCCCCAACCGCTGAGCCAAACCGGCCAGGGCAATAAATAAAAAAATTTTTAAAAAGGGTAAAATGTTGACTTTCATGTTATGTAACCACAATAAAAAAATTAAGGAAATATTAAACAAAAACGAATTATTTAAAAAAAAATCAATGAGCCCTGGCTGGTTTGGCTCAGCTGTTAGAGCGTTGGCCTGCGGTCCAGAGAGACCCAGGTTCAGTTCCCGCCAAGGGCACATGTCTCGGTTGCAGTTTGTCCCCGGCCCTGGTTGGGTTGTGCTGGTGGCAGCCACTCGATGTGTCCCTTTCACGTCGATGTTTCTCTCTCTCTCTCTCCCTCTCTCTCTCTCTCTCTCTCTCTCTCTCTCTCCCTCTTTCCCTCCCACTCTATCTGAACAAAAAATGGGAAAATGTCCTCCGGTGAGGATAAAAAAATAAAATAAAATAGAATTTACTTATGTGTATTTTGTGCTAGTGGACAGTTAAAGTGGTTTCCAGTTTTTGTTATTAAAAGCTATGCTGTAGAAAGATGGGCAAGATTTTTAGATCTAAAAATGGAATTGTTTTATCATAGGTTACGTGTAATCTTAACTTTACTAGATATTATTATTGTTCTTCTAAGAAGCTTACCAGTCTATACTTCTATCAGCAACAATGTAAGATAGTTTTCATTTTTTCATACCCTTGCCTACTTCATATTGTCAGACTTAATTTTGACTGTTTCGTTTACTTAATTTGCATTTTCTCAAAACTAATGAGGTTGAACATATTCTCTGAATTGTGATCGTCTTATTTGCTCATTTCTGTTGAGCAAAACATACAGTTTCTTAATGATTTATAGTTTTTTATGTTTATACTAATTTTTTGTTAGGTGTACATTGCAAATAACTCTTCCCCCAGTGTGAGACTTGTCTCTAGCTTGTTTAGTTTTTTCTTTTAATGCAATTATTTATCAGTCTCTTGTTTTGTGCTTTTTTTTTTTTGGTCTCCACTGCTTCAAGGTCATAAAGATGCAATATCTTTTTCTAAAGATCTTTAAAAGTCTTTTTATATAGGCTTTTTTTAGTCTATCTAAAATCTAGTTTTTGGATAACCACTTGTGACAGCATAATTATTAAATAGTATGATCTTTCTGTATAAATTTTTATCTTTACTTCTATTCTAAATTAAATTTCTATGTATGAATGAATTACTCTTTTGTTCCATCAACTGGATGTTAATTCTTGCTTCAGTACTCCCAAGTTACACTTTATTGTAGCTTTAAAATATGTCCTCCTACCTTGTTCCTTAAAATTAACTCTTCTGTTCTCGGCACTTTGCTCTTGAATATTAATTTTAAAATTAGTTTACTAAGTTCCATGAAAAGCCCTTTGAGATCTTGATTTAAATTGCATTAAATTTTAAAGAGTAACTTGAGGAATGCCATGTTTATGATTTTGAGTCTTTCTGGCCATGAACGTTATATATATCCTTTCAGTTACTCACTGTTTTTTTGTGTCATTTATAAGTGTACTTTGCTTCATAATGTTCTTGCATACTTTAACTTTATTCCTAGATTGCTATTGTTAGAATTGCTGTTGTGAATGAAATTTTTAAAATTAATTTACTAATCAGTTATATGGTGTATGGGGAATGTGATTGATCTAATCTTCTTGATCTTGATTCTAGTACCTTGTTAAACTCTAATAGTTTGTAGGTTCTCCTGAATTTTGCATGAGATAAATAGGGCGGCTTTATTCCTTCCTTTCCAATTTTTATCTTTTTTTCTATCCTGTCTCATTGAAGTGGAAATCTCGCTCTATATATTTTTTTATATTTTATATTTTCAGATTGTCTTTAGGTTGCATGCAAATTTATTATTTTTATTTTTGGTGAATCTGCCCCTTCATTATACATTTTTTTGTTCCCTTCATGCTTTTAAATTCTAGTTGGTATTCCTTTCGTTAGCATTTTCCTGTTATATACATCCTATCTTTTTAATTTTAGCCTCTTGTTTATAGTATTATTTGAGTATCTGATGAACAACTGGTAGCTTATTTTCTTTTAATCCAACAGATAACTTCAGTCTTTTAACATGTCATTATACTTATAATTTGGCTCTACCTCAAGCAGTGAGCTTGGCTCTGATACCTCATTTTGTTTTTTTAGTTCCTGTTGCTTAAGGAGCCAAACTCCTGGTCATCACTGCCTACTTTAACACCAAAGCCTATATAGTAGGCTTATGAGTTCAGCCAGCCTGCGTACTACATTTCTGTATTGTTTCTCGACTTGAGAGATTTTTATTTTGTTATATTTTATTCACTGTCATGACATATTTACAGCAAAGTGTGTCTATCATAGCATGAACTTACTATGCCATCTTGACAGGAAGTCTTCTGTAGCCTTCCTGATCTCTACCTATTGTTGGCTTTTCCCCCTCTAGTTCCTTATTACAGGAGCAGATGCTAAGGAAGGAGGCTGAGTTAGAAACGGCACAGTGCCGGCTCCGACTTCAAGTCCTCACTGAGGAATGCACTAAGCTTCATAATCGTGTCCAGGTAAGTTTGCCCTTTCTAATCCAAATAACATTTGAAATAGGAATTGAAAAGGAATCTAAATATTACTAAGGTTCATCTCAGATACAAGAAGAATTTATTAAAATTTTGACAAGTAAACATGATCAACTCTTTATTTCTGATTAGGGCATTTGTCCAAAGCTTTCATGCTTTACAATTAATTCTACTGCAATCTGAAGTTTTCACTTTTTAAAAAAAATTCTCACCCGAGGACATTTTTGCATTTATCTTCAGATAGAGCGGGAGGGAGAAAGAGAGAGAGATAAATCGATGTAAGAGAGACACATCGATTAGTTGCCACTCACACAACCCCAACTGGGGCTTGGGACAAACTGCAACTGAGGTACGTGCCCTTAGCCAGAACTGAACCCAGGACTCTCTGGTTCACATAGGCTGACGCTCTAACCACTGAGCCAAACCAGCCAGGACTCAATTCTGAGTTTTTGAAAAAATCAAGCCAGATAATTCAAAACTTGTTATTTCACCTTCCTGAATCTACCAATAAAATGAAGGTTTTTTTTTTTTAATCCTCACCTGAGGATATTTTTTCCATTTTTTTGTACAGATAGAGTGGGAGGGAGAGAGAGGAAGGGAGAGAGAGAGAGAAACATCGACTTGAAGGGACACATCGAGTGGCTGCCACCCGCACGACCAACCAAGGCCGGGGACAAACTGCAACCGAGGTACGTGCCCTTAGCGGGAACCGAACCCGGGTCTCTCCGGACCGCAGGCCGACACTCTAACCGCTGAGCCAAACTGGCCAGGGCAAAATGAAGGTTTTAAACAAAAACAACTTTCATCCCTACTGTTTATGATTCTGTGCTCTCCTTGTTTCATTACTTGTTGGAATACTACAGAAACCAGAAATTCTCTAGGATTTGTGTTAACATTTTCATATAATGGATAAGAAACCTCCTTGTAGTAGAGCAAAGAATTTTGCATGAGGGGAATAACTAGAAAAAGCTGCACATGGCCCAGGTTGGTTAGCTCAGTTTAGTTAGAGCATTGTCCTGACATGCCAAGGTTGTGGGTTCAATCCCCAGTTAGGGCACAAACAAGAATTAACCAACGAGTACATAAATAAGTAGAACAACAAATTGATGTTCCTCTCTCAGATCAGTAAAAATAATTAAAAACCTTTTTTTTTTTTTTTTTTTTTTAAACAAAACTAAAAGGCTTCACATTTATAAAATCTTTTTCATTTTAGGACTTGCAAAAACTTATTCTGCAACATCGGGATCAGCTCTTACGGTGTCCCAGGGGCTCCCAAGCAGATTTACTAAGCGGTTTGCCCTCCAGCCAGTCCCAGCGCAAGTACTGTTTCCAGAAGACATTCACAGTGTCTCAGACTGGAAACTGCCGCATTATGACATACTGTGATGCACTGAGCTGCCTGGTTGTGTCACAGCCTTCTCCTCAGGCCACCTTCCTTCCAGGTGAACAGTCTAAAACCTCAGCTTTCGTGTTCATTATTGGACTCCATTTAGTTCTCCCCTTTTGGAGAATCCAGGACTCACTAGTAGGTGAACACTGTCCAGAGCCTATCAAATCACCTTTTCTTAGTTTCCAGTTCATGCAGATACTTCAAGATACTGTGAAGATGTCTTTACTGTCTATTGACTTCATTCTGTAAATTTATTTCACTAAGTGTGCAGAAGTACTGAAAATCCATGATAAAGTAAGAAAAGATGAGGTACTTGGAAATGGGCATTACTGGTATAGTCCAGGAAGGGACCATATGTCCCACTGAAGTTATAGGTTCATTTTAGACTGGAAATATTTGAAAAAAATATTCTAAGGGCTAATTCAAATTAAAACCAGATTTAGCCTGGTTGGTGTGGCTCAGTGGTGGAGCGTTGACCCATGCACCAAGAGGCTGCCAGTTCGATACCTGGTCAAGGCACATGCCCAGATTGTGGGCCCCATCCCCAGTGGGGGGCATGCAGGAGATGGCCAAGCAATATTCTGTTTCATCGATGTTTCTCTCTCTCTCTCCCTCTCCCTTCCTCTCTCTCTGAAATCAATAAAGAAAAAAAATTTAGCCTGGCCAGTTTGGCTCAGCGGTTGGAGCGTCGGCCTGCGGTCCAGAGAGACCCAGGTTCTAAGGGCATGTACCTCGGTTGCAGTTTGTCCTTGGCCCTGGTTGGTCATGCGGGTGGCAGCCACTCGATGTGTCCCTTTCACGTCAGTGTTTCTCTCTCTCTGTTTCTCTTACTCTCTCTCCCTCCCACTCTACCTGAACAAAAAAATGGAAGAATGTCCTCGGGTGAGGATAAAAAAAAAAACGGATTTAATAGTTATTTTCAGGAGTATTCAAATTGACAAATTGCAAATAAAAGAATTTTGGAATACATTTATTATTTTATTAATACTATACTAATTTTTATGTTTTGTGCTTTTTAAGCTTAATTTTATATTGTCTTAATGTTGAAAACCAGATCTCTTCACTTGCCCAATTAAATCATTTCTAAATGTTGTAGATGTTTTTTTCTACTGTCTTCATTATATGATTTCTGCCAACTGTCGGATTCCTTTGCTTCAGCCAGATATCTTCTGTCTCCCCCACCTCAAAGTTTCATCAAAGGCTTTAAAGCTATGTCCCCAAACTTAGATATATACAGTTTAGGAAGTGGAATTACTACATTATCCTATATTTTTCTATTCACTGGTATTAGCCATGACTTGAGAGCCTATCAGGAGGCTTCAACTGAGGGGAAAGTAAAAGAATTACTTATGCCCTGGCCGGTTTGGTTCAGCGGTTAGAGCATCAGACTGCGGTCCTGAGAGACCCGGGTTCGGTTCCCGCTAAGGGCGCATACCTCGGTTGCAGTTTGTCCCTGGCCCTGGTCGGTTGTGCGGGTGGCAGCCACTCGATGTGTTCCTTTCGCATCGATGTTTCTCTCTCTCTCTCTCTGTTCCTCTCCCTCCCTCCCACTCTACCTGAACAAAAAATGGAAAAATGTCCTCGGGTGAGGATAAAAAACAAACAAACAAAAAAAAGAATTATTTATAATATTCCCATCCAGATTTTTAATTAAAACCTTCCCCACAAGTTGGAAAAATATTAATTGTTCCCCAAATTGGGTGTGATCTGTTCTCTCTCTTCTTGATGTGTATGCTCCACTCTGCATCACTAGCTCTTTTTTTTTTATTTCTCACCTGAGGATATTTTTCTATTTATCATTAGATAGAGTGGGAGGGAAGGAGAGAGAGAAACGTCGATGTGATAGAGTCACATCGACTGGTTGCCTCCTGCACTCCCGACCCGACCAAGGCTGAGGATGAACCGCACCTGAGGTACGTGCCCTTGACTGGAATCAAACCCTCAACTCATTGGTCTGCAGTCTGACGCTCTAGCCGCTGAGCCAAACTGGCTAGGCAGCTAGCTCTTTTTGATAGCCTGCTAGTTCTAACTTCTTGTTTACCTTGATTAACTAGCAAGTGTTTATGTTCCCTTGTTTTGTTTTTATCCACACCCGAGGACATTTTTGCATTTTTTGTTCAGGTAGAGTGGGAGGGAGAGAAAGGAACAGAGAGAAAGAGAGAGAAACATCGATGCGAAAGGGACACATCGAGTGGCTGCCACCCGCACGACCGACCAGGGCCGAGGACAAACTGTAACCGAGGTTCGCACCCTTAGCGGGAACCGAACCCGGCTCTCTCTGGACCGCAGGCCCACCCTCTAACCGCTGAGCAAAACCGGCCAGGGCTTTTCCCTTGTTGAGTTAAAGCCTGTAGTTTCCCTCTGTCTCTCTTAATTCTGTTTCAGGAGAAAACAATAAAATTTCTACCACTGGGTTCCCTAGAGAAGCTGAAGTGTAATTCAGGGATATCTTGAATCTGGGAATTGGCAAATTCTGTTCGTGTATAATTCAGATAATAGTAGCTACCTAGTGGCGCACTCTCCCTCTTCTTACACCCAGGCCTTTTCTTTCCTAAGCTCTAAGGGCTCTTCTTCTGCCTCTGTAACTTGTTTCCTACGCAGCCCAGGGGGCTCAATTTTACTACCTCTAACTTTCTAAATAAATTTTCTCTTATAATTTGAAAAAAAAAAAAAAGTAGATACTTAGTAAAAATGGATGTCAGCCTAGAAAGAAAACAGAGTAACAAATAAATTTAAAAGGATAGTTTTTGTTTTTCTTTTCCCTTCCTAGAATGATATACATTGATTGGGATACTTGAGATGTCATTTATTTTCATTCTGTTTCAGACAAATGTAGCCTATCTTGACCATCTGATAGAACTTTTCTTTTTTTTTCATTTAAATTTCATTTTTCAATTACAGTTTACATTTAGTATTTTTGTGTTAGTTTCAGGTATACACATAGTGGTTAGACTTATATTTTACGAAGTGTTCCCGATATTTCTAGTACCCATCCGGAACCATAAAAAGTCATTACCGTATTATTGACTATATTTTCTGTTCTGTACCTTACATCCCCCTGACTATTTTGTAACTACCAATTTGTACTTCTTAATCCCTTCACCTTTTTTACCCAGTCTCCTAACCTCCCTCCCCTCTGGTAACCATCAGTCTGTTCTCTGTAACTATTAGTCTGTTTCAGTGTTGTTTCTTCTTTTATTTTCTTTAGATTCTACATGTAAGTGAAATCTAAAGTCTTGGTCTTTCTCTGACTGACTTAGTTAACTTAGCATAATACCCTTTAGGTCCCTTCATGCTGTTGTGAATGATGATTTTATTCGTTTTTATGACCAAGTAATATTCTATTGTATATACATCCCACCACTTTTTTATCCACTTGTCTATTGATGGGCACTTGGGTTGCTTCCATATCTTGGCTGTTGTAAATAATGCTGCAATGGCCCTGGCCAGTTTGGCTCAGCGGTTGGAGTGTCGACCTGCAGTACAGAGAGACCCAGGTTCGGTTACCACTAAGGGCATGTACCTCGGTTGCAGTTTTTCCCCGGCCCTGGTTGGTCGTGCGGGTGGCAGCCACTCGATGTGTCCCTTCACATCGATGTTTCTCTCTCTCTCTCTCTTCCTCTCTCTCCCTCCCCCTCTATCTGAACAAAAAATGGAAAAATGTCCTCGAGTGAGGATAAAAAAATAAAATAATGCTGCAATGAACATAGCAGTGCGTATATTCTTTTGAATTAGTGTTTTGGGTTTCTTCAAATACATACCCAAAGTGGAATTGCTGGGTCATAAGGCAGTTTCGTTTTTAATTTTTTGAGGACACTCCATACTGTTTTTCATAGTGACTTCACCAATCTGCATTTTGACCAACATGCACAAGGGTTCTCTCTTCTCCACATGCTTGCCAACACTGTTGATTTATCTATATCTCATTGTGGTTTTAATTTGTATTTCTCTTATGATTAGTGACATTGAGCATCTTTTTGTATGTCTATTGGTCATGTGTATCTTTTCTTGGGAGAAGTGTCCATTCAGGTCTTCTGCCCATTTTTTAATTGGATTGTTTGGGGTTTTTTGTGTGTGTTGAGTTGTATGAGTTCTTTATAAATTTTCAATATTAACCCCTTATCAGGTGTATCTTTGGCAGATATGTTCTTTTATGTGGTAGTTTGTCTTTTGTTTTGTTGATAGTTTGCTTTGCTTTGCAAAAACTTTTTAGTTTGATGTAGTTTCACATTTGTATTTTCTTTTTCTTCTGGTTCCCTTGCCCAAGGACTTATCTCCATTCTTTATTGTTTACTGTCTCTTTTACATCTTGAGTGTGGCACAGGTGGAATGGGCCCTTGTGCAGGTGCACATGTGTGCACACATTCTTTCTGTCTCTTTATTAAAATATAACTTATAAAAATAAATTGAACATACTTAAAGTATATTATTTGATGACTATTGATATATGTATACACCTCTGAAACCATCACCACAATCAAGATAATGAACATATCTATCACCCAGAAGTTTTTTCATACCCTTTTGTTTTTTTGTGTTTTTTTTTATCCTCACCCGAGGACATTTTTCCGTTCTTTGTTCAGGTAGAGTGGGAGGGAGAGAGAGGAACAGAGAGAGAGAGAGAGAGAGAGAAACATCGATGTGAAAGGAACACATCGAGTGGCTGCCACCCGCACAACCGACCAGGGCCGGGGACAAACCGCAACCGAGGTACGCGCCCTTAGTGGGAACCGAACCCGGGTCTCTCAGGACCGCAGGCCGACGCTCTAACCGCTGAGCCAAACCGGCCAGGGCTTTCATACCCTTTTGTAATCCATCTTCCACCTGTCCCTTTCTTTTTACATTTCCAGGTAACCATCAGATCAACTTTCTCTAGATCAGTGTACATGTTTTAGAATTTTATATAAGTAGGGTTATAAATAGTATTACTCTTTATTTTTTTGGTTTGGCTTCATTCAGCATAAGGTTTTTGAGATTTGTTTGTATTATTGTGTACATTAGTTTATTCTTTGTTAATGCTGGATAATCCATTGTCTGTATATACAGTGGTTTATCATTTACCTGTTGATGGATATTTGAAATGGAATATACTTTTTATAATAAATTATAACCCTAGAGAATTTTTATTTTCTTAACTCTTTTTTCAGGAACTTAAATGTCAAGAAAGATCGACAAAGGAACTACTTGGAAAGATCGTTTGCTTTGCCCTAAGTTGACCCGCAGTGATGTATCTCATTCTTTCTTTAACAGGCTTTGGTGTTAAGATGTTCAGTACTGCCAACATGAAAAGCAGTCAGTACATTCCCATGCATAGCAAACAGATCCGTGGACTGGCTTTCAGCAGTCAGGCCAAAGGCTTACTTCTCTCTGCTTCCCTAGACAACACTGTTAAACTGACCAGGTGAGTGCTTTGGGGAGGAAGATGGGACCTGGGCTGTTTATGTTGAATAGCATGGAAATCAGTGTTCGTGTTATGGTGGCCTTAGCTTAGGGTTTTTCTTTTGTGTTTTGGTCTAAATCATTGTCTTCTGAGATCTAGGTTTCTTGAATTAAAAGTGTATTGCTTTTAAAAGTAGACACAGCAGGCCCTGGCTAGTTTGGCTCAGCGGTTAGAGTGTCGGCCTGCGGTCCTGAGAGACCCGGGTTCGGTTCCCGCTAAGGGCATGTACCTCGGTTGCAGTTTGTCCCCGGCCCTGGTCGGTTGTGCGGGTGGCAGCCACTCGATGTGTTCCTTTCACGTTGATGTTTCTCTCTCTCTCTCTGTTCCTCTCTCTCCCTCCCACTCTACCTGACAAAAAAAATGGAAAAATGTCCTCGGGTGAGGATTAAAAAAAAAAAAAGTAGACACAGCAGGTTACAAACCAGTATGTGTAGTGTCCCATTTCTTTAAAATTACATGTTATAAAATACATCTTAAGCCATGCAGATAAAAGAGTAGCACCCTTGAGATGAAGAAGAGACAATATGGAGGCAGCCTTGGTACCTGACACCATGGAGTCACTCACCATACCAGCTTAAGACTAATTATTCTTGGTCTATTACCTGGATCATTCTGCCTAACAGAAATACTGGGAGCTCACTCTCCTTGGGTGCCATGATGACTTCTCTCATTCATAACCCTCAGTTACTGCATTTTTTCTTTTACATGCTTTGTGAGTGCTGTGAACCAAATCTGAGAGTGATCGGTGTCTTTATGTTTTAGAAATTAGTTCTGATTAGATATCGGATAGTTAGCTTCATGTTTAATTTCTGCACCTAAGTCTGGGGGACCTCATGATAGCACTTATAAACCTTTTGACTTTTCAAGAATGCTTCAGCTTAATTTTGCCCCAAAATGCAATGTACTGTTACATTTTATATGTATGCGTATGCTGTGGGTTTTTTTGTTGTTTTTTTTCTAGTAGTGTTATAAAATTGGGACAGAGTGCGGTTAAATATCAAAGTGTAATTAAGACTGCCTCTGGCCCTGGCCGGTTTGGCTCAGCGGTTAGAGCGTCGGCCTGCGGTCCTGAGAGACCCGGGTTCGGTTCCCGCTAAGGGCACATACCTCGGTTGCAGTTTGTCCCCGGCCCTGGTTGGGTCGTGTGGGTGGCAACCACTTGACATGTCCCTTTCACGTCGATGTTTCTCTCTCTCTCTCTCTCTCTCCCTCCCTCCCACACTCTCTCTGAACAAAAAATAGAAAAAATGTCCTTGGGTGAGGATAAAAAAAAAGACTGCCTCTGGATGGTTGGATATTATTTATTTATTTATTTATTTATTTATTTATTTATTTATTTATTTATTTTTATCCTCAAGGACACTTTTCCATCTTTTGTTCAGAGTGAGAGGGAGGGAGAGAGAAACATCGACGTGAAAGGGACACATCAAGTGGCTGCCACCCGCACAACCAACCAGGGCCAGGGACAGACTGCAACCGAGGTACGTGCCCTTAGGGGGAACCGAACCCAGGTCTCTCTGGACCACAGGCCAACGCTCCAACTGCTGAGCCAAACCGGCCAGGGCTATTTATTCTATTTTTGGCAGTATTACAGATGTCCCCTATTTTTCCCTCACTTCCCCCCTCTACTCAGCCCCTGTCTCACCCCAAGCCTTCTCCACACTATTGTCTGTGTCCATGGGCTATACATATAAGTTCTTTGGTTAATCTCTTCCCATCCCCGGCATATCTTCCCTCTGAGATCTGTCAGTCTGTTCCATGCATCCATGCCGCTGGACCTATTTTGTTCATCAGTTTATTCGATCATTAGATTCCACATATAAGTGAGATCATGTGATATTTGTCTTTCTCTGACTGACTTATTGAACTTAGCGTAATGGTCTCCAGATCTATCCATGCTGTTGCAAAGGGTAAGAGAGGCCCTTCTTTTTTACAGCCACGTAGTATATATACCACAGCTTTTTTATCCATTCATCTACTGATGGGCACTTGGGTTGTTTCTAGATCTTAGCTATAATAAATAACTCTGCTATGAACATAGAGATGCATATTTTCTTTCTGATTGGTATATATTTTCAACATGGAATATGATCACTTGTGTAACAGGTAACTGGAAAAGGTAATGGAAGTAGGGTGGGAATGTACTTTGTCTATGTCCCTTTAATTTACTCTCACTTCCTTACAGCTCAAGAGGAAAATGTGTCCCCTCCCACCTCCGAATATTTTGGAATGAAAAAGAGTTAACTAGGCAGTCCTTAGAGGAAATTGGGAATCCAAATAGTTTGGGGGTGTGGGTGTATTCTTAACTGATCAGCACTGAAATGATCATCTTTGCATCTTTATTATATTTTTTATTATTTTAATGCATAGTTGTTAAAGTCTCTTATAACTCCACAGCTTGGAGACAAATACAGTGGTGCAGACTTACAATGCTGGGCGTGCTGTCTGGAGCTGCTGCTGGTGTCTTGATGAAAACAATTACATCTATGCTGGACTAGTCAATGGTTCAGTTCTGGTATATGACCTTCGAAACACAAGTTGTTATGTCCAGGAGTTAGTACCTCAAAAAGCCAGGTAGGGGGTCACTCACTTTTTTCCTGTAGGTAGTGTCTTTCTCTTGGACAATTATTGTATTAATTGTTTTTTTCCAAGAGTATTTCACAGTTGGTCAGAATTCCTCATGGAGTGCAGTTCTCTCTGAGTTCATTGATCATTTCTCACATAAGAATCAGTAAGATCCAGCCCTGGTTGGTGTGGCTCAATTGGTTGGGGGTTGTCCCATTGCTGGTTGTTACCCAGTCAGTGCACATACCTGAGTTGCCAGCTCGATCCCTGGTAGAGGGGACATGCAGGAGGCAGACAATTGATGATGTTTCTTACACTCTCCCTCTTTAAAAATCAATAAAAACTTAAAAAAAAAAAAAAAAAAGATCCTTAGAGTTTGTGTTCATATTACACATGGTAGAAATCTCTGCTACCACATATAACCAGGTTCATGGAATTACTTATCATTCATCGTGGCAAAATGAAATCACATCTATGTTCAGCACCCAGCTCTACTGCCTATGAGCTATGTGATCTTGGCCTGTTGTGATATTCATCTGTAAAATACGGTTAGCACACACTTGCTTTTATAGCCATATAGTCAGTCTAATACACAGGATGAAAACAGTAAAAGGTAGCCCAATAAAAAGTGATTTAAAACTTTCCTAATTCACAGCTAAACCAGCTTGGTCTAAGGATACCGTATTATTTTGGCTTAGCATTTATGTTCCAATTATAGAGTTGGGAGGTTTGTGAAGTCAGCTCAAGTTCTGAGGGTAGGTGGCCACCAGCACCTCTGTGACTCTTCAGAATGTGTTAAGTATCATTTGGGCATAATACTCTCCTGGAGGCATCAAGTTCTCAGAAGGAGAGACAGGTTTGTGACCTGGGCCAAAATGAGAAGTGTCTTAAGAGGAATTTTAATTTCCAATTTAAATATATATTGAGAGGGGCAATGGGATCTAAGTATGAAGATGGCACTACAGTAATAATTATTTACTAAAATCTAGGTTTAACACTGGGGTTTTCTTTTCATTTGGATGGGGTAGAATCATGCTTCAGTGATGTTGTCTGTCTGTGGGCCTGAAGATGATTGATGTAAACTTAAACAAATGTGAACATTTGTTTACAGGGTAAACAGGGTAACTGCCCTTGATGTAGAGGGGCCCACGTAGAGTAGACAATAAAATACAGCAGATAGCAAGGAAAGAATATTTGTATGTATTGTTTATTTTTGTTTTAGTTTGCTTTGGTTAGCTTTTTTTTTGTGACAGGAAAATGAAATAAGGCAGGCAGAATGATTGCTTTGGCAACTTTACCAGAAACTAATTCATAGGAACGTGGTTTATAGGCTGATATTTCTAAGATAATTCTTTTTTTTTTTTTAATATGTTTTTATTCATTTTTTTAGAGAGAATCATCAATGTGAGAGATACATCGATCAGCTGCCTCCGAGCCTGCAATCCAGGCATATGCCCTGACTGGGAATCAAACTGGGACCTCTCAGTCCATGGGACGACACTCAGTCCACTGAGCCACACTGGCCAGGCCTGAGAGAATTCTTGACAGAGTCCTGGTTATATGCTTGCATTAAAATTACTTACTTTGAGCTAATATATATGTATGTATATTTTTAATCCTCACCCATGGATATTTTTCTGTCTTCAGATAGAGTGGGAGAGGGGGGAGAGAGAATAGAGAGAAACATCGACGCAAGAGGGACACATTGACTGGTTGCCTTCGCATGACCCTGACCAGGGCCGGGGACGAACTGCAACTGAAGTACATGCCCTTGACCAGAATCGAACCTGTGACTCTTTGGTCAGCTGGCTGATGCTGTAACTGCTGAGCCAAACCAGCCAGGGCAACTTTAAGCTATATTTTAATTAAGGGATCTGTCAACTACAGCTTGTGATCTTGTACTGTTTAATTTCTTAGTCCATTTTTTTCATTGCTTTTAGAGCATGTATCTTTTCTGAAATTAGATGTCGAATATTATATGTATTATATATTATGGCCTTTTGTTTCTACAGAGTTGGTTGGTAGTTTATATTATATGTCAGAGGATGGTGACTCATAGATTTTTAACCTCTTCTACAGAGGTAAAAGTGAGCTCAAGGGAGGACTTCTGGTAGTGGGGTCTGGACTGGTAGTGGGGTCTGGAATAGTCCAAGTATTAGAATGTGAGACATGCTTTTCCTTTCCCTTCAGATGCCCGCTGGTGTCCCTGTCATACATACCCAGAGCTGCCTCAGCTGTATTTCCATATGGTGGAGTGTTGGCTGGAAGCTTAGGGAATGCTTCCTTCTGGGAACTAAAAGTGGGCTCTTCTCATCGGCCTCATGTGCTGCCCATAGAGGCAGGAGGCTGCATAGACTTTCAGACAGAGAGCAGCACCCGACACTGTCTTGTGACCTACAGACCTGGTGAGTGCCGGGATGCCCTCAGGGGACCTCCTGTGATTTGTTTGGGATCACATTTGTGGAGGAGGGAGAGGAAACGAGAGTTTTTCTTGCCCCTCACAGACTAAGAGCTCTTATATACTACACTGAGGATGATAGTTTCAAGTTTCTACATGGATCCTGCCTTCCTGCTTCCTCACTTGTGTGAATTAAGGACAGATTCTCCCAGGTACTCCCTGGAAGTAAATCAGCCACTTTAGGAGGTGTGTTTTTGAGGCCGTTGAGTTACCCGCGGATCAGTTTTATGTTTTCTGCCTGTCCTTAAGAGAAAGGCCCAGAGGAAGGCAGCCCTGTAGGGCCCAGACGAGGGCATTAGCTGTTCCTTCTTATTTGAGGCCAACAAAGTTAAGTGGAGACTAGATAGACAACCATTATTGTACGGGCCAAGCTAACTGAACCAGGGTGGAACCCCTGACAACCAACTATACTTAAATCCATAAGTTCTTTCTAGCCTGAAAGGCATGAATCTGTATATTTTGATGGGCTATCCTGATGGTCAGGCAGATGTTTCATCAGAGATAGTCATTAAAGTACCATACTTCTGCTAGTTTTGGCTATATGGAATCATTTAAAATTTTGTTTGAGCCCTGGCCAGTTTGGCTTAGTAGGTTGGAGCATCGTCACGTCCACTGAAAGATTGCAGATTCCATCCCTGGTTGGGCCACATACTGGAGGCAACCAATTGATATATCTCTCTCATATTGATGTTTCTCTCTCTTCTCCCTTCCCCTCTAAAAATCAATGAAATTTTATATGTATAGTTTTGTTTGAGCTGAGAAGCTGCTTCAGCAGAGTCTTCTGATCCTTTTGGTTCTTAGTCATCTCATAGGTCCTTTGTCTCCAAGACTGATTTGCTGTGACATGTAGAAAACTTGGGTGTTCTGTTCTGTTTTGTTCTCTAGCTTTTGTTTTCCTCCCAGCAGAACCATATATATGTTTCCCCTTCTATAATAGCATACTTTTAATTTTATAAAAAATGTACAGTTCTGGGGTTAAGGGGGTCCTCATTGGGAAATGGGGGAAAAATTGTAGTCAGAACTGTTAAGGAAGATAAAAACCCAAGCAGAGGTCTTGCAGGATGTAGTGATTTTACTAAAAGGGATAGCCCATTCTCAAATTGTTTAACTCATAGGCAAAACCAATTATAGATAATCTGCTTCATCCTAGATTAGTGTTCTGAATTTCATTTGTGCTGTATTTTGTTCTTGTTACATGTTTGCTTTGTAGCTATTCTTGATGGTTTAATAAATTGTAGTTTTTCTACTCAACTAGGTAGTAAGTGTCTGAGGTACTTGATTAATTTCTTTGGACCATCTCCATGGAGCAACACTTTCTCTGTCCCATAGATAAAAATCACAACACCTTACGAAGTGTGCTGATGGAGATGTCCTACAAGCTGGATGATGCTGGAGAGCCACTCTGCTCCTGCCATCCTGTACAGACATTCCTTGGAGGGCGCACTTGCAAACTACTGACCAAAAGTGCTATTTTCCAAAACCCAGAGAAGAATGGCAGCATCCTGGTGTGTACTGGGGATGAAGCATCATATTCTGCCCTGGTGAGCCTGTTATTTATTTTTTTATAGAAGAATGTATAAAGCAAAAAGCCCAAATTCTGCTTCATGATTACACATCTGCACATGTATGTATGTTTGCTTAGTTTATTTTTTACATAAGTCACACTTTACATACTGCTCTATGGTATGCTCTTTTCCCATTTAACTTCCGATCTTGGCTATCTTTCTATTCCAGTATCTGTAGATTCACGTCATTATTTTCCCATAAGCTGAAGTGTGCCATGGGCTGTATTTTGAACCTTAAAAAAAAAAAAGACACTACTGAAACCCCTATAAAATAATGATTCAGGCATCAGTTTTATCAATTCTGGATGAAACCAATAGATGAAAGGTTGGTGAGGAATTTCACAATGGAGAGGTCAGCCTATTACCACCTGAACATGTAAATTAACCTTAGTATCCTGTAAGTGTGCTTACCAGAAATGATTTTCCTCTTGTAAGACAATAGAAAGCACAGGGCACCTTCTATGAGATGTTCTTGAACCTTAATCCAAGCCTTACTTAAATAGATAAAGGTAAAATGACATGAAATTAGCAGATGTAATAAAAGCTCCATAAACTGGGTAATGGGTTGCTCATTGTACTATTCTACATTTTAATACTTTGATTTTTTTCCCCCCACAATAAAAGGTTTTTAAAAGGAAAAGAAAGTACCAGTTAGAAGATGATAGGTTCCAGAATGCCAGGAACAGGGACTTTGCCATATTGTCCCTACCATTCCTAGAAGACTGCCCAGCACATAGATTGAAGGGACGAATGCTAGCTAGGCTTAATTTTCAGATCCACTCGCAGGTAAACTAATTGCTGATTCTAGTAGGTGATCATATCTGGATCATGTCAGGTGTGCTGATTTTATGCAACCTTGTGAGGGTTAGGGGCTTTGCTACCCAGGCAGTGCTCTCTCTGCATCTCTCTCAAAGTTAATGCGAAAGAAAGCAAGTTTCCCAGCTGAATTGAATGACTTTTTACCTTTTATCTTTCCTTGTCTTCTTTAGCTGTGGGATGCTAGCAGTGGCTCCTTGCTGCAGGGTTTGCCGACTGATCAACCTGTCTTGGACATCTGCCCCTTTGAGGTGAACCACAGCAGCTACGTGGCTACTTTAACAGAGAAGATGGTTCAAATCTATAAGTGGGAGTGACCATGGTTTTGAAATTTACAAGGCATGTTGCTGGTTAATGTTAAATATTGTTTGCTAGCACCTTACAGCCTTGAGCAAGATCCCTGCTTATAATCTGTGGCCTACAACTTTTGGGAACGTGGTTCCTTTGGATTAGTATGATTCTAATACTCCAGGTCACTGAAACACTACAGACTGTGTATTTGCTGTGTCCATTAAAAGAGTGACTGGTACTATGTCTACATTATCCATTTCTTGGGTTAATAACCTTCATGAATCTTTGTTGAAAATCTGTACTTTAAATCACACTGTCTGCTGGACCACAGAGAGTATCTTCTCAGCAGTTATTTAGGATATGATTGTGCACCAACCATTTTCTAGGCCCTGCTTTAGTGGTCTTGTCACATGGGCTGTTTGGTTTGGGAATGCTTATGTCCCTGAGGGACTAACCATTTGATGCTGTTTGGATGCAATGTGGATGCAGAAGTTTTCAGTTGAACACAAGAGGGCACTATAGAACCTTGCGTGGGATTTGATCTATTGCTGATCCTATGGCCTGGCATTTTAGTAACTTGGTCTCACCCTCACAGAACTGAGTGGTAGAGCACTTCTGATCTACTTTGTGGCAACCACAGTTATGTTTCAGTTGTGCAGTACTAGGATATTGGCAAGCCCCATGATGTGATGAGTTCTAGACAGCTTTCCTAATGCCAAGTTCATTAAGCTCATTGCATTGTGAGAGCCAAGAAAAGAGACCAGTTGTTTGAGCAATGGGGAAGACTTTATTCTAGCCAGTATAGGATCTAAGGAGTCGTTTTATATAAGCCCCTGCTTTGAAGACCATTCCTTTTCCCTCTCATTAGGAAAAGATGAGCAAATGGTACATTAAAACATTTGAATCTCCTAGTAAAATATCAGGAGCAATGGGCTAACTCTGTAAAAGAGACTTACAAAAAAGAAGCTGCTCAGACTTCTTCTGGAAACAGGAGAATGGCCAGTCTCTTCCATTCTGAAAGAGTTCCCATCTGAATAAAGCCACCCCTTTGAAGTGAGGGGATGTTCTTGAGCATGTTTAAAATTCCCATGTGAAAATGACGTTTGATTCTAGATTTCTATTTTTCCATATTTAAAAAAAATTTTTTTATTGATTTTTAGAGAGAGAGGAAGGGTGGGAGTTATGGGGGAGAGAAACATCTACATGAGAGTGAAACATTAATCTGACTGGGAATGGAAGCAGCAACCTTCGGTGTATGGGACAGCACCCAATCAACTGAGCCACACCGCCCAGGGCCCACGTTTCTTTGATTTGCTTCCCCTTTCTAAAAGTGTTAGGAAAAATTATTCTCAGGAAGATAATAGTGGTTGGAGACCTGTGGATTGCAGGAAGATGCCCATCAGCTTTTATCTTAACTGCAGATTGTCCAAATTTGGGTGCTGCACTTCTCTCCAATAGAGGGCTCAGGAGTGTGATTTTCTTAAATAATTGTTGTAAAAATGTTATTATTTTAATTTTAAAACATTTCTGACCTGTCAACTTCTGAGCCATTTTCAGCATTTCTCACCAGCAAGGGGTTATTGTATTAGATTTCCCCAGAGTTCAAAGTTCTAGTTGTGCCTTTTAAACAATGCCCTCCTTCTATTTAAGGATATTCTCAAAAATCCACTTTCCTGGGTCTGGAAAAGAACCCCCTTTTCTCAGAGGAGATAATCCTTTTGATCTGTTGATTTGATTGCACAGGCCTAGAGCTTCAGTGACAGAATGGGATTTGAATTAAAAAGCAGAACATCTGGTTACCGTAGATTGTCACAGAGGAATGCAGGTGGTCAGACCTTGTCTGCCTTTTGTCTTGGTCAGGGTTAGGATTTTACTAGCCTTGAAGTACACTCAAGGGATGCTGATTGATTTGCCTAAGCATAGGAACCAAGGAACTTAATACTAGGGAAGTTGGGTGAATCTCACCTCTTGCCAATCCTTGCGTTCCTTCCGCAAATGTTTAACAGTTTCATGGGACTGTGACTGATTTCTCCAAAGGAAAAGAACTTGGCCTTTAGTCACCTCACATGCCCTAGCAGGAGATTACATTTGCAGACCTAGGCTCTGGAGTGCTATACAGCACCAGGTTCTGCCATACCATGTTTCTTCATTGCTGTCTCTAAAGTTGTCTTCCCATTTGAGGGTTTGGAGTTAAGTGAACCCAAAATATCTTGTATATATTCTTGTACCTGCTTTGAAAACACGGCAGTGGGATCTCAGTGTGTTTTAATGTTTATGTTTTATATTTTAATGTTAATATGAAAATAAAGAATTTGCTGTGTGTAACAGCTCCTGTTGTCATTTGTCTCTTTGACTACCAGAGGCAGGAACATGTCTGCCTCTTGGGAGAGGGCTCTAATCCTAACCTGGTAGATTTCTCCATTTCATGCAGTACTAGATCTGAGTTACAGTTAACCTGGATCTGAAATAAACATATTTATTTATTTTATTATTTTTTTAAACTTAACTTTATTGTTGAATGTATACAGATGTCTCCCTCCCCAAACCTGCCCCCCCTCCCGCTTTCCCCACACTTGTCTGTGTCTATTGGTTATGCATATATGCATATAAGTTCTTTAGTTTTTCTCTTCTCGCCACACACCCCCTTCCCTTTGAGGTTCATCAGTCTAACAACCAATTTGTATTTCCTAATCCCTTCATCTTTTTCACCCAACTCCCCTCCCATCTGGCAAGCAACAAAAAGTTCTCTGTATCTATCAGTATGTTTCTGTTCTGCTTGCTCATTTTGTTTGTAGATTCAGTTGTTGATAGATATATATTTTTTTTCTTTTATCCTCACCCGAGGACATTTTTTGTTCAGGTAGAGTGGGAGGGAGAGAGAGGAAGAACGAGAGAAACATCCATGTGAAAGGGACACATCGAGTGGCTGCCACCCGCACGACTGACCAGGGCCGGGGACAAACTGCAACCGAGGTATATGCCCTCAGCGGGAACCGAACCCGAGTCTCGGGACCGCAGGCTGATGCTCTAACCGCTGAGCCAAACCGGCCAGGGCGATAGATATATATTTATTGCCGTTTCATTGTTCATATTTTTTTATCGTCAAGAAGACCCGTCAACATTTCATATAATACTGGTTTGGTGGTAATGAACTCCTTTAGCTTTTTCTTGCCTGGGAAACTCTTTAAATGGCCATCGATTCTAAATATAGCTTTGCAGGATAGAGTAATCTTGGTTGTAGGTCCTTGCTTTTCATCACTCTGAATATTTCTTGCCACTCCCTTCTGGCCTGCAAAGTTTCTTTTGAGAAATTGACTGAGAGCCTTATGGGAGCTCCCTTATACAAGGTAACTGCTTTTCTCTTGTTGCTTTTAATATTCTCTCTTTGTCTTGAACCTTTTGCATTTTGATGATGATGTGTCTTGGTATGGACCTCTTTGGGTTCATCTTGTTTGGGACTTTTTGTGCTACCTGGACTTGTATCTCTATTTTCTTCACCAAGTTAGGGAAGTTTTCTGTCATTTTTTTTTTCCAGATAGGTTTTCAATTTCTTGCCCTCTCTCTTATCCTTCCAGCACTCCCATGATGCAGATGTTGGTACTTTTGAAGTCATCCCACAGGCTCCTTATACTATCCTCATTTTTTTGGATTCTTTTTTCTTTTTGCTGTTCTGATTGGGTGTTTTTTGCTTCCTTATATTCCAAATTGATGGTTTGCTTCTTGGTTTCACCTACTCTACTATCGATTCCCTGTAAATAATTCTTTATTTCAGTTAGTGCCTTCTTCATTTCTGACGGTGCATCCTTCATTTCTGACTAGTCCTTTTTATGCTCTTGAGGCCCTCACTATGTTCCTTGAGCAGCCTTATAACCAGTGTTTCAAACTCTGCATCGGTTAGATTGCTTATCTCCATTTCGTTTAGTTCTTCCCCCGGAGTTTTGTTCTGTTCTTTCACTTGGGCCATGTTTCTTTTTCTCCTCATTTGGCTGCCTCCCTGTGTTTGTGCCTATGTATTAGGTAGAGTTGCTATGTTTCCTAGAGTGGCCTGTTGTAGTAGGTGTCCTGTAGGGTCCAGTGACACAGACTCCCTGATCACCCCAGCTGTGCCCTTGAGGTGCAGTGCACCCCTTGTGTGGACTGTCCACCCTTCTGTTTTAATTGAGTCTTGATTGCTGTTGGCAATGGGATGGATTTACTCAGGCTGATCAACTGTAAGGACTGGCTGTGCCCACTGACCACTGCCCTCTGACTACCTTGGAGGATCAGCTGTGCAGGGGCCCGCCACACAGAGCAAGACTTACTTCAGCAGGGGTCTGGTACCCACTGAGTCCACTCCTTGAGTGTGTCACTTGTGGAGGTGGTTGGGTGGTGGTGCTTTGCCGTGGTCTGAAGCTGTTCGCTGTATATGCTGGCTCTGAGGCCAGGTCAGCCACTGCCTGTGTTCTACCTGAGGCCACCAGGCACAAGCTACAAAGCGATCTGCAGGTGGCTGCTGCTTGTGCTGGGCTTGGAGGTGCCAATTTGTGAACCAAGGCTGCCTGCTTCTAGTGCCAGGCCTTGGGCCACTTAGTGAGAGAGATGGGGCTCACTGTGGCTAGATGCTGCTTGTTTGAGAGAATTTAGGAAAATCTGAAGCAGGAGCCAAAACCGGCCAATCCTATGGTAAAGCCACTAGAAATAGCTTGGGTGGGCCCGAAGGTTGGGTGGGCCTCAGAATCACAGGGTGGGGCAAACAGTATGGGCCAGGTTACTGGAGTCCCAGATAACCTTCCTGCCCTGTGTGGGAAGGGCTCACCAAAGGAACAATGGCCTCCATCAGCACATCTGTCCAGGAGAAAGCTGCCTTTCCTTGCCCTGATTCCAAACAACTCAGTTCTTCCCCGTATGTTTCTGGTGCCTCCCAAGCTGCCTTTCCTCCTCGCTGGAGCTCAGAGGGAGCTAGTCTGAGTAAGTCCGAGCTGGGGCTCTTTAAGAGGATCTGCCTGGGGCTCCAGCAGCCTCAGCCTCCCTCAGCCTCAATTCCCGCTGGTTTTTACAGCCAGAAGTGATGGGGACTTCTCTTTCTGGC